TGCTATGACCAGCTGCAAAGCTGGTAACAGAGACGTCTCGGTTGACGTTTCTGTGTAGTATGGGGCTAGCCCAACCGAGGGGATATAATGTATAGGCCTGGTGGGTTCAGGGTCTTTCATCTTACATCTGCCTGCGTGCAGTTTGGAGGTGCAAGATACCTGAGCGTGTAATGTTAATTTTACCTGTGATCCTTTGAATAAATCAGCACTGTTTTGAAGTTACTTGGACTGTCTCGTCTCTCAGAGTTAGCAATGGTAAGAAGAACCAAAAGTCCTTCAATGGTATACATGCTTTTTGAGGTAACCATATGAACACAGGGGAAGTGGTGTTTGTGGTTTTAAGTGCTATGATCGTAGGTGTGACAACTTTTCAAGGAAACAAAAGCATTTAACATCTATTAACTGTCACTGAGGTTATTAGAAGCCAAAATCAGCAGCTGCTGAAAAGCGGATGTAGTCCTACTTGAAGTAACTTGGGCAAACATTGTGCCATTCACCTATGAATCAGGTTTTTCACCTTGTGTTTAAGGTTTGACTTTATGTAATCAGTCAAATAGATGTCCGCTATCTACTGTATGAAAGAGTTACTATTATCCAAATCTTACAATATGTTTTTTTAGCAACTTTTTTGGGGATATGTAAAATACAGGGCCAATGTAATGATCATAAATGACCTGGTATGAAAAAGCTAAGAGACATAAAGTGATATTGTCATAACAGTTATATGTTTCATTAGTTGTGGTGTAGTTTTCTTATAATTACAAAGCACTTTTCATATGAGATCATAAGTGTGGGGAAGAAATGTCTTATTATAATATACTTAAATCACAACAAGAGCAGAAATGTTGTTTGGTGTCTGTATAAATTAGGCAAAACAAGCACATTTGTTTGACAGCTTTACAATAGCATTTATTTAGCCAAATGCAGTTAATACAGTATATAGAGGATTAAATATAGCATTTTAAAGCAACACTATGATTTTTGAAAGAAGAAATACATTCATGACGGTTTCTAAAGTGGCTCAAACAAAGGTCTCACTTTATCATAGATTATTTCACTTCTGTTTTGCAAAGGCAGTTACTATATAAAAAAATGCTGTTAATATATAGTGGATAAGATTGAGAGAAGCAAAAATAGCACCTTGCTGGATGTTGCACTCACATAACAGATTTAAATATGAGGCTGCCTGCATCTCATGATCACAGCTGGCTGATTGACTGGGAGCCTGTTTCTCGAGTTTTCTTCTCTGTGCTTTCAGCAGTGCTGCCTTGGGCCAGATGAAGAGCTTTCCTGCAGAAGTTCTTGAAGACAGAGCTGGAGAAGTAGTAGACCACAGGATCCAGCACGCTGTTGAGGTAGGTCAGGGTGATGGTAATGAAGAAGGCAGTGTTCAGCTCCTCCCGTTCGGTACAGTCTTTAGTGCTTTGCATCTTGATCCAAATCACCAGATGCGTGATGTTGCTGGGGAAGTAGCAGATGCTGAAGAGGACCACCACCACAGTGATGAAGAACAGAGCCTTTTTAATCTTTGCTTGCTGAGCAAGCTGTCTCCCTTTAAGGTGGCTAATAATGTTGACTGTGCAGTAGAGAATCACAAAAAGAGGCACATAGAAAGAAAAGAGAAACTCAAAGTTATGCCAACTCAGACTTTGACTTTGACTTTGACTTTGACTGTCCGTAATGTTAACACTGACACTGAAGCTCTCACAGGTGGAGTTGGTATGTGATAAACGGAAGATATGAGCAGTCATTGAAATGGTGATCAACCACAGTGCAAGTGCTCCAAACGCAGCTTTAGAGACACTCAGAGAGTTGATGAGATGATGGGGATGCACTACACGCATGTACCTGTCCACAGCAATAGCCATCAAGAAGAAAGCACTTCCACTGCGATTCATTGCCAACATGAAGAGGCAGATGTTGCAGAATGTGTCTCCAAACTTCCAGCTGATCCCAGATTTGTAGTAGCTTGCACGGAAAGGCAAAGCCATGTTAAGCAGAAAGTCAGCCACTGCCAGGTTGAAGAGTAGCACTGTGCTGCTCTTCCATGGCTTCAGGTGGAAGCAGAAGATCCAAAGAGCCAGACCATTTCCAAGAACTCCCAAAATAAACTCTGTCACCAGCAGAGGAGGGAGCATGCTGATCAACAGAGTTCCATTAAAATGACACTGCATATTGAGGTATGTGCTGCCTGACTGGTTGCAGATACACAAAATAACCCCTCTCAGTACTGCCTGTGTTCTATAAAGGGAAACATCTGAGCAAAAAAGTGTTGGTGGTTTTGCTTTACAGGAAACCCAGTTCTGCTTTTCATCGAATGTTAAAAGACACAAAATAGGTTGGGTCTCTTTGGTAGAATGAATTTGTCTTCAAAGATACAAAGGGTTGAATAATTACATCAGAGGAGCTAGCAGGTAATGAACATTATCAGTTCACCATACCTGTACATGTGGAAATCAATATAAAATTTTACCCCTAAGGCTTGCGTAAAATGTTCTTTATCTTATTGCTGAAATCTTTGATTAAAAACAATTCGCCTGAATAAAATCTGGAATCATCCAATAGTTCAGCCTTTACAGGGCATGTTTTGCACACCACTTTTGCTGTTTGTCAAATATACTTAATGCTTCATCATGAACTATTTTAAATTTTTTTTGTTACATGTTTTGATTTATGCAGTTATTTTAATTAAATGTACATACTGCAAAGTATGATAAACTATCTGTTTTGTGGTTTTTAGCTTCATAATTCTTAACATATTTAGTTGTTTTAGAATTAATATCAAATATATATGTTTTGTTATCTTTGCTTAATACCTTGTAATAACTAAGCAACAACATGCTAGTTGCTTTTTAATCCAATAATAATCTCTTTTAGTCAGCAAAGATGGGCCAGTGACCCAGCTCTAATTCTAAGAGCTGATAAGATGTGAAAAATTGAAGCCATTAAAAGTCACCGGATGTCACAGTAAGACAGTAATGTTTCTCACCTCTTTTCTAAAATAATGTTCACCCCCATCTAAAGTGAAGCCTGGTAGTGACAGCATCATACTGCAGATCATACACTTTGACACTGGTCATAATTGAGGAACACAGCAAAACACTGATGGGCAATTAGCAAAACTCTTACATTGAGCATGAACACCTCAGCTCAAACACCTTAAGCACAAAGATTTTTGGGGACACATTTTTCTAATGTCACTGACTGACCCAGTCCAAATTCATATTCCCAGTGGAAATCTGTGCCAGTCCACTGATGTGCCCCATCATGTCTGACGGGGTGGATCTGCAGGGGTGAACAGAGGAAACTACACAAATGCAGCTCTAACAGTCAAAATGAAGCTCTGAGAAGTGCCGGTGCTGTGTGTAGAGAGGACTGAATAAAGGGTCTGATTATCTATTTGTGTCCAGTGGTGTTGGGTTTATTTCTGACAAATGTACATTTGTAAACATGTTTATTACTTATTGCTATTTTGTTTATTAAAATTTAAGTCTATAATGCAACCAGATGCCAAAAGATACATATTGAAAAGTTTGATATCGCCTGCACACAGATGTTTGGTATTGTAACAGGCCACTTCCAGACTTCTGAATCGACACCCACATTTAAGTTTTATTTAGCGATTCAAGTATAATGAATGAAGTTAAACCAAACTGGAATTCAGTCTGAACACTAGGCTGGTGAAAATGTGTCAGAAGCATGTTCATACAGACAAATGCACATCCTAGACAAACTCCTCTTTCAGAAAGCCAAGACACACCAGAGGAAGATCAGTGTGTAAAGGCAACTCGGTGCATGTAGATCATCTTTCACTATCAGATGCTTTCACAATATGTGTATGTGCATGTGAATGTCTTTGCATACATGTGCAGCTTTTCAGTATGTATCAAGTGAACTGTTGTTTATCTACATGAACTGATTCCCCAGGAAAAGAGTTTAGTAGCTTTACTGTGAGATTTGAGTCTAATACCTTATTTTGAAAATGATGAAAGAAACAATGAGACACTGCACTAAACTATAAGATGTTTGGTTTGGTTTGTGTAGTTTACATGAATCTGTTTTCTAGAGTAGAGTATTTTTTCAGTTATACGAATATAGGATAAGAGGTGTTACCTTGTCACATGTTTACCTCTGGTTATGCCAAATTCATGGGGTCATAGATGCGTAGTATTTAACTATCAGAACAACAACAAGCTGAAAAGGGCTATGAGGAAGCTCACAGAGACAATATGTAAACCTCTACTGCTGCCTACTGGATGACATTTTAAATCACGGCTCTTAAAATGTGTTTTGGAGACTGCGTGATCTGAGTCCATTTTGAATTATCAGTCCTCCTAAATATATCATTGTGGATGTATGCTATTAATTTTAGTATGAAATAAGTAAAAAGCAAATAAAAAGTGTCAATGTTCAGGTCAGGGCTGCATGCAAAAATGTCAACCACGTATACATAAACCTTTTAGTTGTAAAATATTGTATGACTAAAACAGACACAACTCATATGCTTACAAGTAGGAGGGTGAGAGGTTGTAGGAATTATTGTATTTGATAGATGAACAATTTGTCCTCTTTGTGCAGGACATTTTTATGTAAAAGCAATTTACAGGATTTTACCAAGAGATAAAATTAAGACACAAGGTTAAAACACATTTAGACAGATGACACACAACAGCAACTATAGGAGACAACCCTTTCTGAAGACACAAGGTTAAAACACACAGCAACTATAGGAGACAACCCTTTCTTTCTCTGCTTGTTGATGACAATCTGCAGACAAGCGTACACAACATTTCTCAAATGCCTTATCAGTCATAGCGTCATTAAATCGGTCATTGGTTTTTCACGTCACAGCAGTCACATAGTAATTTTGAAATGGATGTCAGGTCTGAGTCTGCTTGGTATTGTGTGTGTGTGTATGTAGTGTTCAGACATGGTAGAAAAATGTAAAACAGCCAGCTTGGCCTGTAGAGCAAACTCGCCTTTTGTTCCCAGCTCCTGTTGTTTCCGTAAGCCCTTGTGGTTCCTGCACCTGCATATCTGGAAACAAAGCGTTATGTTGTTACTCCGCCCAGAGCAACGAACATTAAAATCCAGTTTTACAACACTGAAGCGGACTGAAATGCAGATGGAGCCTAAAATGTACATAAGAAATGACTAAAGTGTTTTGTTATTCCAGTCTGCTGTCAGACGGTGACTTCAGCTGCAAAGTGGGAAACAACACTGACAACTTGCAGTCTGACTTGGTTCACATTAAAATCTATGACAACTAACATCTTAATGATGTATCACTGTTTCAAGTTTTGGCTGAAATGTTTAAATGCTAAAAGTTGGACCAGGAAGTCAAGTAAATCAGACAGACAAAACAGGTTTATCCACATGCTGCATGTCATATGGTTTGTCAGCCCATGTTAAGTACAGTTGGGCAAAACAAGAGACACAACCCTCCATAATACATTAAAGAGGTAAATAAAGAGGAGGTTACCTGATGACCAACAGAAATACACTGAACTGATGATCATTTGCTGATGTCCTTTATTAATTCTAAGCATCAGAGGAGATGTAGCTACATCAACAGAATGATCCGTTTTTAAAGCTTTATGCATCATAATACAGCAGCTGCATCTGAGGAAGTGGTCTCTGAATTTATTTATCACAAATTAATAAAGCGCTGGGGTTTGCAGGCATCAAAGAAAAAATAAACTGAAAAAAACCCCTACAGACTCATTCTAATGTTTCTCCATTTGTTACCATCAACACACTCAGACACTGTGCAATCCTGCAACACTATAAAGTGCGTTATGATCTTTGTCCATTTTATGTTAAAGCACCTTCCACCTTTTATTTTTGAACTTTTTACACTTATCTAAGACATTAGCTACAGCGATTAAAAGAAGCCCAATAAAGCAATCTAAACCTTGACAGCTTGCTTCAAAGAGCAGTTTGCATTGGATATTAATCATATGTAAATATTAGCCTGTCTCATTTCCATGTGTCCCAGCAGTCTACATACTGTAAACATACAGTAGGCACATCCTCTGATTTTTAATGGGATCTTAATTTTCTGGTTTGGCTCATCACTGCTTGACTGTTTTTGTCAAAGCAGGATTAAAAGAGAGTCACAAAATCCTCTGAATAAAAAATGATCTTCATGGTTTTTGGTTTCACTGTAATGGAGTCGCTGTCCAAGGATGACAGCAGAGGCCGGTACAAATAAAAGTGGAAATACAGAGCGCAGAGGGGGGAAGCTGAGCAAAGCACTTGAGTTACCTGCTGATGTTTGTAGCCGGAAAACCTTACATAATGTGTGAGAGGATGTCGACAGCGGAGGACACGATGTTGGTTTCCTCCACCTTGGGGGAGGATCCGTCCACGTAATGCAACGCACTCACCCGCGTTTCCTTTCCGAGCCGCGAAGCATCACCGGCGATGAAGTCGCGTCTTGGAGATGTTCCTGATACGCACGGAGGGATCCTAATCTAGACAGAGGAAGGAACCCCTGATATCTGCCGTCGGTTGGACATTTTGCTGTTTTGGTTTTGGGAAAGGGGAGGGTGAGGATAAGTAGTCCACGCTATTTCCGAACCGTCACTGTCAAACTAGAGAATGAACACCATAAGACATGCGCCCACTCGGGTGAAAAGCAGGCGGATTGAGACCAATCTCGGAGCCGAGAAGGAGCATTTTGCCAAGCAGCAGGTAAATAAAATCCACTAGGACTCGGTGGGTTATTGCTCACTGTGGGATGGGAAAGCTACTGCTTTTCCAGGCCTACTGCAGATGTAGCTACCACCTGAGTGAAGATGTGTAGTGGTCAGCCCACCGCATAGGCCACATTACCAATGGCCAAATTAAATAGGGAGTTGAACGTTTATCCTGTGAATTAAATGTATTAAAGGTGCAAAGTTCTGCCGTTTCTCTTCTTGCTAAAATCAATTCAGTAAACCCCACCTGAGTCATGATTATTATGAGGGATTCCCTTTCTATGTTTAACATGTGTAGGCTGTATACACTCACCTGTATAATTGTATCCACTTCATTGCAACACTTCAGCCTTAACTTCTGTGTTTATGAAGCTCAAAATGTTTAGGTTTTTGGCTAAATTGCCATAAATGTATACATTCAATGCTATGTTTATTTTTGAGGTCATAGTCAAAGGCAGCGTTGTACTGGACTACTTTATATTTGTCCTCCCAGCTACATACATAAAATGTTAGGAACACCTCCAAAGTGGCCGGTAAGTGTAAACCCACCCACCCCCAAAAAACTGTAGACTATTTATCACTGTCTGCTCAACACTGCTGCTTTCACTTTGAAATGTGAAGATGTTGTTTCACTGTCGACCTTTAACATGTGGACACACTTTGTTTCAGAGGCACAAGCTTGCTCAGTCACCAGAATATAAGAAAATGGTGAATTCTGAGAGTTTTGACCATTTTATCATAAGAAAACTGGAAGTGCTCTGTAGAGTCACACCATTAATTCTTCCCTGAAGTCTGTCCATTGGTATCACGCTCATCTTGTCTTTCCTGTTTGGCCACCTTTCCTCCCTCCCAGACATTTCTCTCCATTTTGAACTGCTTTGCTGTGGGATGTTTCTAGTTAGGAAGCAGAAAGAGAAGCTTAAACTCTGCGATACTTCCTTTGTGGTGTACTGAGAAGATCAGATTCGGTTTCTTTTCGATGAAGATTTGGTCACTGTTCATACAACAACAGGTGCTTTGCGGTTTGTGGCTGTTACTTCACTGCAGTCATACGCCAAATAAAGTACATGAGTGAGCGAGGGAGTAACGTAGAAAGTGCTGAGTGAGTTCTTACACTTGACAAATCCCCTTTGTTATACTTGAGTTGCTGTTTCAAATGAAGCACACACCCCAGTCTGAGAAACATGAGATTCAAAATAGGTTGAATAACTAAACAAACGGTGGAGCAGCTGCCTGGTGCACCGACCGGCAACACTTTCAGCACTGTTATCTAAAACAGGCTGAGCTTTCCTTTTGCTTAGTGTACAGATTCTACTAGCTGTACTAGCTGAACTATAGTTCAGCTAGTCTCTGTCAGTGCTTTATTTGCTTTTGAAGCACATGTAGCGAGGTGGAGCTTATATGTGCATATATGCGTTGTCATCATCATTAATTAAAAGTGTTTTTTATTTTCTCCAGTCCCCTCCCTGCTGGGTGTGTGTGTGTGTGTGTGTGTGTGTTGGCCTGAGAGATTATCTGATACTGCAGCATATTTGTTGATTGGAAAGCCAAATGGCAACAAGTATGCACAGTTTTGATTTCATAACCAGCCATTGTTGTCTTATTGCTTCTTGTTGTGTGTACAGGACAACTTGCAAAGTGTTGTTTAAAACTCTACTCTGCCTTAGGTGTTTCTTGTTAATGTGACTGAGAAATAGAGGAGCAACCAGCTGAATGAATCCACTGACCACCATGCAGATTACCTGAGGAGGAATCCAGACTCATGTCTGGCTGAAGAAAATTTATCATGTGACTCTTTATCACAATAATCGGCATTTTACTACAACTATAGTTCAGCTAGTACTCGACTAGTGAACTCATTAAATATACAGTGTGTACTGGCTAAACAACATACCTGTTTAAAAAGGCATACTGTGCAGTGGAATAAGTGCTCTTTAGCTGCACTTAGCTGTGTCTGAAATGAGGAGGCCTGTTTATTTTTTATAATAGATTAATGTTTTGCCATAGGGTTTCTCTGTGCTGCCCATTCATCCTGTGCACTGACTGAAACTCCTCTGTTCCACTTCACTTGCACTCCACACTCCCGTGTTCTCTCTGCTTCATGTTGGCCTTGGTGCCAAGGTGAAATGTCTCACACTGCTTCCTGTATGTGCGTGTGTGTGTGTGTGTGTGTGTGTGTGTGTAGTGTTGTGTTTGCTTTCACTCATTCCTGTTGCCTGAGTGAGCGCCCGTGAGAGACAGAAGAGGCATGAGAGTGCTAGAGGGTAAACATAGCTACTGAGTGGGAGTAGAAGAAGAATTAAAAGCACTTTAGTTATAAGTGTTTCATGTTTTATTTAAAAAAGACATTAAGTGAAGTCTTTTTTGTATTGAGCTCTAGATCAGCATTTGTCAGCAAACAAGACTAAACCTTTAAACATTTTTCTAAGAAAAGAAACTGGGAGTCCTGTAATTTTTTTCTCTCTTTAAAACTGAAATGAAAGCTCATAATTAATTATAGAGATGGGAATTATGAGTATTATAGCTGTACAAAATCCACATGTATTGTTCATGCGCTATTTACAAACCATGCGCTAATGATGCCCACAGTATCCTTGTATAATCACTGACAACAGACCAATGTAAAGTCCTAAACACAGTGTAATCATCACACTGTTTGCATCCAATGGGACGTATGTTTGGTGCCCTGGCAGACATGATGTTTAACAGATACTCATGATGATGAACATCCTGCAAGTCATGAGCCTGAAAAATTGGGCTGTTAAAGAACAAAGCATCTTTTGTTTAATATTTTATCGGCTGTACTATGCAATTTAATTTGACATAACTGTGAGTTATAACAGATTATTATCTTTACAGACATTTGAATGTTTTTTTTTACACATTCACTCTTTAAGTTCATTCCTCATGCTGCCTTTGACCTATTTTCCATTATATTATGTAGTATTTACACTTATAGTAACTTTACAAAGTCATTTTATCAGAGAAAGAATATTAAGTGTAAGTGAAACACATGTTGAAATCCTTATGTTCACCCGAAAGTGCTGTCAAGGATATTTAACTCTTCACTTTGCATTTCCTTTGTTGCTTCTGTGATGCCTTTTTCACTGGTTAGTACACAGCTACACTACACATAGCTAGCCTCAGCTAATAGGTGTGAACTGTGATAAGTCTATTTGTGACCTTGGCAGCCTGATCCGCAGCAGCAGTTTGTTGAATTAAGCTGATAAGGACCTGCATAAAGTGCTCTTGCCTCGGGACATTATGTGCAGTGAGAAGCAGGTCAGGTGAAGCAGTGATGCTTTGGGTTTATTAACTTCACAAACGCGTTGACTTTAGGATGTCGAAGCACATGGACACACTGCTGAAAAGCAGAGATGAAAAGGTAAGCGGAGATGCCTCAAGGTCAGAGGTATTAATTCCATGTAGGGGGTGTAGGGTTTTTGGACTATGGAGTGAGTGAGTGACTGTATGGCTACTGTAATGTTAGTTGGCAGTAGGCCTCGTGGCAGGCCTCAGGGATTAGTCAAGGCTTTCCCTCCTTCATTTCTCCTCTCTGCTGGGCAGGGGATTTACTGCTGCACAAACCAGTTGTTAGGCAGCCATGCAGTCTACAGTGTCAGCATGTCTGGAACTCTCTGATCGCATTGCTCTGTTCATAAAAAGGCTGCGTCTGACTTAACTTTTGACCATTAAGGAAATGGTATCTGTGTGTGACCTGTGTGTAGGCTTGATAGTGAGACCTTGTATTGTGTGTAGGCAGAGAGCTCTACCAACAAGTAGTTTTCTCAGAAAGAAAGAAATACAGCAAAATAATAGCAGTTAAATTTGTAGGAAAGTAGGTAAGCACTAGTAATTATAGATGCAATGATTTATCTGTTAATTGAGTAACATATTAACAGAAAATTAATTGGCTACTTTTTTAGTTATGAGTTAGTTAAAGAAATTTTTAAGGGAGAAATCGGACTGAAAATACTTAGAAAAAATCAACTGGGCTAGATTTCTAGGTCGAAGACGTTTCACCTCTCATCCAAGAGGCTTCATCAGTTCTGACTGACTGGTGTTGAGCTGGAGATATTTATCCCCCTCTGTGTGGTTTCAGTCCTTTGAAGGAAAATTGTTTTTTCAGTTTACTATGACCTGGATGTCTAAGAATCTGCACAGACATGTTAAGGGAGAAATCAAAACATTCTATTGTGAAAGACATTTGAGTATTGTGTTGCTATTTTTCACTGTTTTCTGATGTTTTATGAACCAAATGTTTCTATTTTTTGCAGTGACGAGTAATCGAAAGGGTTCTAATTCTGATCCCTGTGCAGCCAGCGATCGTTACTTTCTTAATGGCCTTTAAGCACGTACGCTGTAGTGCTGCAAAAAGTGACATTGATATTGGCTATTGTTTTCAAAAATGCTTTGTAGCTGTAACAGCTATTCATCACATGCTTAATGTTACAGTATACTGTATGTAGTATTTGGTCGCCGTCCTCCTTTCACGATCTTTTGTCACTGCTCTCTGACTGATAGCCATTACTATGAGAGTCTCCCTGCAGCCTCGCTGCTCAGTGGCCATCTGTCAAGGCCTCTGTGCCAGGCTCTGTGTGCCAGAGAGCGGCCCCCATCCAACCCACTCTTCTACCCCAGCTGTCGGCTTCCCTCCCCCAACAAACCCCTTATTGTCACACAGGCCTCCGTGCTAGTGCGCTGCACTTGCCCTGTGTAAACGAGGGACTAACGTCAGAAGCAGGCAAGGGGGTGTCTCCTATTAGCCAGCGCAGCCCTCTCTCACTCGGAACGCTAGTTTTCACGCACAGTAGCCCCTCTGTGCTTTGCCGTGTGGCCATGTGTATTTTGGTGGTTGTGTGTGTGGCATGGGGTGGAGTGGTGACTCCCAGGTCTTTAATGACATGTAAAAGACTTTTATAGGGGCTGGTGGAGTGAGGACGCTCCACCACTTGTATGTGATTATGAGTGTAACCAGGGTCTAGTGTTGTCATTAACCAGCTTGTGCAACTTCTACTACATATTAATGAATATGAATATAAATTGGGACTGTGATGAGAGAGAGGCTGAAGATGCTGCTGCTGTGATGCTTGAACTGTATGTTGGATTAGTCTCTTATGTAATACAGCGATGGTGAAGTTGGCCTGCTTAGTTATCACTTCAATTTAGAGCCAGTCCGGCTAAATTTTCATACTCTTCATTTCTTCATCTTGAGGTCAGCTTCTATGGTGTTTAAGGGCACAAAACAAAACAAGCAGACATGAATTTGTGTTGCATTTCTTTCCTATTTTTTTCTATTTTGGTACAAATTGGTCAAGATTTGACTTGACACAGATATCACAACTAAGCATTTTGGGGTAATTATAAAACTGATTTTTCCTAAGCTTACTGTTATCTCCCACGGTTTATTCTCTGGCCAAGTGTTGATTACTTTCCCAGCACATTTCCCTCATACAAAACACCACTGAAATGTGACTTGAGGCGGGGCACACCACACACTTTGGAAGCCTGGGTGGTGTCACAGTCCAGGAATAATTGCTGCCTAGCACAAGTCAACATCATGGTCAGGGAAAACGTGACTTTTAGTAGATAATCCAAAATGAATGTTAAAGAAAGATCAATATTAGCAATCTTCAGTGTTTTGTGTATAAAATTAGAGTTTCCACCCATATACATGTGACACCAACTCCCCACAAAATAAAAATTCCATTCTTGTGAGTGAAGGTGTATCATGAAGCAGCAGCCTCTTTTTGGCCTTATGCACCAAAATAAGAAAAGACCTAAAGCACCTTGTAACTGGGAAATCAGTTGGGTTGGGAAGTGATTCATGAAACAACAGCATGCCTTTAAGTTCATAAGGGATTTAGAGACATCAAATGTGTATGCAGATTGGGCTGTTGGAGACAGGGTGAGGTTATGAACAAGGCAAATACCTTTCAGCTGGATTCAGTATCTTGCTTAAGAGCCTTTCAGCAGGGCAGCCAGAGGTAGACCCACCAGTTCAGGGACTGCGTCTCCAGGCTCTGAACCATAATGTTACTTGCATAGAAGGGGGAGGAGAGCACAGTAGTGTAACATAACTATACCAAGCTTTTTTTTTTTGAGTCTTGTTGTGTGGCTGTGATGTTTAACACCAGAGGTTCACTGAAATGGGTTAGTGTTCATGGGGACACACAGCTCCAACCTGCCTGTGTGCTTCTCCGTCTCTTCCTTCCCATGTTTTTTCAGCAACACTTGCTTTACCTGTTGGACAGGTTATGGAATAGCGTGTGCTGTGTCCTGTGTTCCTGTACTTTCATTTTGTTGTTTCACACAGGTGGCATAAAATGTAGCAAATGTATCACACATGGTTTTGGTCAATATCTTTATAAAGATATTAGTGATGTAGCACCAGCAACAAAACAAAGAGAATGAAAGTGACATGTTGTGTAATCATTTTGCTTCTGTTACTGTCCTTACGCTAAACTTAGGAGAGCACTCATTCAAAATGGCAAGAGACCTAACTCTGTGTTCATCATGAATGAGTGTTTGTTTGGCCTAACCATAAGGTGAGAGTCAAGAGTCCATCTGTCGAACACTGTGTGAACACAGTAGAGACTCGCTGTTTCATTTTTACTCCTATTCATTTCTGTCATTGCAGTGCAGCCTGATATCACTTGTTTGACTCCTGCTCTATATTCAGCGTCTCAGGGCTTGTTTATTTGGTACACCTATTGTAAGCTTTACTGATAGTGAAGCAGTGGTTAGCACTGTTGACTCAGCAAGAAGTTTGAGCCCTGTCCGACCCGGGGCCCTTCTGTGCGGAGTTTGCACGTTGTGCGTGGGTTCTCTCCGGATGCTCTGACTTCCTCCCACAGTCCAAAGACATGATTCTATGTCTCATCCCTGTGATAAACAGGCAACCTGTCCAGGGTGTACCCCACCTCTTGCCCAGTGTCAGCTGGGATTGTCTCCAGCCCCCTCTTCAGCATAAGCAGTATAAATGATGGATGGATATGAGTGGTGAGGCAAACTATAGAATATCTCAGAGTAACTCTTCTCCTCTCCTTCCAGCTGAGCAGCATCGGCAAAGCCATCAACTCTACTGAGACGCCTGTGAAGGAGAAACATGCACGACGTATCCTTTTTTAAAAAGGCAGTTCCAAACTCACATCAATAGAGATTTTGTTTTAGACCATTAAGTAGTGTGGGGCGCTGCATTTCATCAGTACTACACAGTCTTCTACTATGAATGCTCAGAAGATCATTAATAGTCCTGATCATGATGTTTTTGAGCTTTGTCCTTTTGGCTTTTGCTACAGGATGCTTAAGACACAGACATGACGTTTCAGACTGTTTTTTTTTTACTCCTGTGGCCGTTGAGAGACTGAATCTTTTAATGGAGCGGGGATGTGCAATCCTGCACCTTATGCCTATAGGAGCTGTATAGATTTTCCAGCTCCACCCAGTGGATTGTATTGGACTTTTGGCTTGCTCTGATTTGACCTCATTTCCTTACACTTCTTTTCTTTTGTTCAGATTTTTTTCTTTGACTGCTTATTTTTGTTGAGTAAATTACCTCATAGTTGTTGTTAAATGGGTGTAGAAACAGTTAATGAGCTGGATATGTTACTTTTCATTCTGACTTGTTTAACAATAAAAATGCACATGTAATATGTGGAGTAGCCAGCACTCTTGCACTTCCTTAACTACAACAACAACAGGAATCATCCTGGGGACTCACAGGGAGAAGGGGGCCTACACCTTCTGGTCCTATGCTCTGGGCTTCCCTCTGCCCAGCAGCTCCATCCTCAGCTGGAAGTTCTGCCATGTACTCCACAAAATCCTGCGGGACGGGCACCAAAATGTAAGGCACTAACTCCTCCTATGTTACTGTCTATTCATATCTATGACATCATGGATAAGGTAAAAGTGAAGAGGTGTGACCTTAATAGAATTTGCCTGATAGGACTGAATGTTAATTGCTGTTCATTCAAGCTGTTACCTTCCTAGGTTCTACAAGACTGTGTTAGACATCACAGTACTCTAGTTGACACTGGAAAGCTATGGGTGAGTCTTGGTATGCATGCAAGATACATCATACATTTGGTGTGAGGCCTGGAATAATATATGTCCAGTAAGAGACAAGAAGGCTTTGATTTAATTAGATATTTCTATTTATTATCATTTTGTGCTCAATTCTTGCTTGTCTGATTACAGGGCAACCTACATGACAGATATGGACAGCTGGTGGCTCTGTATACCAAGCTGCTATGCACCAAAATGGAGTTTCATGTGAAGGTAAGGACATCCTGTGACATGTCGCAGCACACACTGTGCTACCAAGATGCATGTAAGGGATGATTCAGCAAAATATTAGGAATCCACACTGTGAGTGGGAAGTGGCACTAATACACCAACAATGTACCTCTATGTAGCATAAAGAAATCCCCCCGAACCTGGAGGTCACAGATGAAGTCCTGGAGCGCACTGCAGGATCAGACATTAATAATGTGTAAGTTTCCAATACTGCCAATATTGCCTTTGTTGTTTCTGTTCAGCCTTAAATCCCAATCTTCATCAATCATGCATACGGCTGCTGACAACCAGTGTGTTCATAAAATCAACAGACAAGCCCTGCTCCTCATTTCATTTCACAGGGTCACATTGGCATTATTTCTGAGTCCCTTTTCTGTCTAACAAAGGTATCAACTTCTCTCCTGCAGGTTCCAGCTCACAGTGGAGGTGTTTGATTACATGGATGCAGAGTTGAGGTTGGCTGAGACAGGAAAAAAAAACCCTCC